CTCACCCTAATTGGCTAACCTCACAATAGAAAATATCTTCATTACAGAAAATATAAAGATATTTTCTGTAATGAAATGTCTCTTATGACTGTTTTTTTGATTATATAAGCTTTACAAGATAACACATGATAATGCAATATGTTACATATTTAAATATTAAAGCAGGAATGGCCTTCTTTACATGAAACTATTATTTAACTGGAGAAACTATCAACTTGTGTAAACTCCAGCAGTAATATAAAATATTTACACCATAGAATAAATGCTTTCTGGGATTTTCAATATGAAAGTGCTGATATGTAAAGATTACAACATGTAATGTTCTATTTTTAGAAATTAAAAAAACATTCACTATAAATGATATTCTACATTTGCACAAGAATTGTTCTACATTCAAAATACTTTAGAACCAGAAGATGGAGACATAAGATCTCTGAAAACATTCTATGATGTAAATACAGTGGTACCTCAAGATACGAATGCCCCAGCATACGAAATTTTCAAGATACGACATGAAATTCGAACATATTTTTGCTCCACGATACAAACAAAAACTCACCATATGACGTTACATTAGTTCGCAGCTCCATTTTTTATTCACTTCTGTTCATTCGTCGTGGAAGGATCTCGCTTGATAAAGGAAATCTTGAAGTATTATCAGAAAGTGACTGATTTAATTGAAAAGAAACATCCTAAAAAGTTCACACTAGCTGTATTGCTGTTCACAATAATGACATTTGCCTAAGTCATTTTAGAAACATTTTAAAAAGTAGGCAAAGCCAAACCTCTTTGGATAGATATTTTACCAAGCAACCTCTATCCAGTGAAAGTGCTGGTGGAAGTGAAGGAAAGAAAGCAAAAAGCAGTGAATAAAAATTTTAAAAAATATATAAAACAACACTAATTTTTTAATCTTTCCTAAGTTATTTTTAAGTTATTAAAGTTATGTAAGTTAAGTTTTAGTATCATTTCCCTTCTCCCTCTCTTCCGCCACCAGTTTACACTCCACCGTTGTCTATCCTCAAAAGGTAAAGTGCAAATAAAACTACATTTTTTTTTAATCAATTATTATTCTATTATGGTTATTTATACATTTACAACTACAAAATGCATTTTTCAGTGTTTTCGTTACTATAGTTATTTTTTTAATGTACTACTTAGCTTTAATTTGAGTGTGTTTTTCGTGTTGTTACGAATTATTTGGTTTTACATATAATCGTATGAAGAAAAATGATTCGCCTTACGACATTTTCATGATACGATCTCAGTTTCAGAATGGATTAATTTTGTATCCTGAGGTACCACTGTATTTCACATTACTGCTGGAGTTTGAGTATATTACATAAGTTTATTGGCCATCTTATATAAATATTAATGATTAGAAAATGAATTATGAGTTAAATCAAATTATTTAGAATATTTTATGAAGAAAAAGCTATCTGGAGCAGGACTCAAACCTGCAATCCTTACTGGTGAATTTAAAATATACAGTAATACCCCAAACTTACACGATAGGTGGAACCGAGCGATAACCGCGTAAGTCGAATTCGCATAAGTCAGAGTATAATTTCGCAATTTGTGTAAAATCCAAGTCGGATGTATGTAAGCTAATAAATGCTCTCATTAATCTTATCTTGTCTTTTGATTCATTCATGGTTACAAGAAATCACCACAGAGTCTCTCGAGTCCCGTAGATATAACAAACACAGAAATAAATAACACAAAATAAATTGTAGCTATGTGTCGATTCTGCGCGACACGTCTGAATATGTAAGCTAAACAATAGTGTAGGGGGAGTGAATAATCAAGAGTTGCGTGGCGCTCAAACAAAAGACGAATCGACGAGATTTGAAAATCACGTAACTCCGGATTCGTGTAAGTCGGGTAGCGTAAGTCGAGGTATTACTGTATATATATTATACAGGAAATCCTTTTTAGTTTGAAATTAAGGAGACAAAATGTTTGTGACTTAAAATTATCAAATTTTGAATTATCCAAGATTTAGATATTTCTGTACAATATGCCAAATGCCATGTAACTAACGTAATTTATTAAGGAAAAAGAATATAGCTACAATATACAATGCTATTTTCATTCATTAATAATTATTAAGAATAAATAAATTTCAGGTAAACAGAATGTGTCAGGTGAGAACCTCACAGATTGCCAGATAGATTTTATAAAAAGTAAAGCAGAATTCCTCGAAATGTTGCCCAAATTATTTTTAAAATGGTGAAAAAGTAGTAAGTCGCCCAAAAGTAGTAGCCTAGAGCCCTTTGTTATTTGCAGCCCAATATTGCAGTTCTGAAATCTGGCTGTATTTTGTGAAATAAGAGAAACAAAGTAACACCCAAAAATGTGTTACTGTAAAAACAAAGCCATATTGACCAGATAGAGTTGTTCTTGGCCTATTATTAGATTGAAGTGCCTCCATGCTATAAGAATAGAATGGAAGCATTTTGATCTAAATCAGTGGTTCCCAAAGTGGTTCCTATGGACCCCAGGGGTCCTTGGTACCACTGTGGGGTATATGGCAAATTAAAATTAATTTGGGGGTGGGTGGACAATGTCAGGGGGTCCATGAAAAGTTTAATATAAAGTAAAATAATTGTGACCCATTTTCATTATTAGGATAGTTAAAAATAAATAGCAATAAATAAATTGGTAGCCATTTTTACATTTTGAGTAAAATATAAGTATATACATACATAAAATACAAAATACAAGTAATAACAAGCATTTCACAGTGAGATTTATAAAAGATGAGAATATTTCCCAAGAATTGTTATTTGCCAAATGTTTGGAAACTGATACAAAAGGTGAAATAATATTTAATGAATTAAAAACATTTTTCAATGCAAAAGATATACCCTTGAGTAATATCCTCTCCGTTACTACTGACAGTGTTCCAGCAATGGTAGGACAACACCAAGGCTTTCTGGCATACTTGAAACAAGCTAAACTGAATATATTATCTGTACATTGTGTCATTCACCGACACCATTTAGTCTCCAAAAACCTTAGTGAACGCTTGCATGGCTCACTAGATTATGTCATTCAGGCTGTTAATAAAATCAAAAGGAATGCCATAAATAAGAGATTATTTGCTCAACTTTGTTTAGAAAATGATAAAGATTATAATCATTTACTACTTAACATGGAAGTTCGTTGGTTATCTAAAGGTGCATGTTTGGATTGATTTTATGCACTCTTTGATTCAGTGTTGGAATTCCTGGACAACAAAGACAATGATTTGTGGCTCAATTTAATTAATTCAAAACATGATATAGCATATGACATAGCATATATGACTGACATATATGACATAGCAATTTTAATTGATCACCTTGTAACTTCAATTTAATCAAAACTAAAAGTATAATATCTGCATTTGTTGCAAAACTTTGTGGACTTTGACGCGGCGCACATTATCATCACTACCACCCACCCTGAACATCTTAAGTGGTTGGAAGCTATTGAGATATGTAGAGCAGGATGCAACACAACGTGCATCAATTTTAAAGAAGAGATAGCCCTTTCAATAGCATGGCAGTTCCTGCTGGATAATATCTTTTAAAAGAGTTTACGTCGAAAATGATGAAGCACGCATGCGCTATATGCAAAACATCGCTCATAGCTTTCTCGGTTTTGTTTTAAATTGACTCGAATGTTACCACGGGCGATGATTCGAAAGTGAATGAATCAAAAGGAAAGTATTCGATTTTCAATGGCCAGCTCAACATATATCAAAAAAGCCTGAGGAAGACCCCAGAACGGGCGTCGAAAACATTAGCTGAAATATTATACACACACTCCGGTTACGAGGTTGAAAGTAAGTTATTTTTAGTACATTCCGGTGTGAGGAGAAGAATAATTAAACAAAACTTGGGGAGAGGAGAAGGCTCTCAGTTTCCAAACCTTTCAAAATTGCAAAAAGAAGATGGTGATTTGCTTGTTTATTGTAATTGTTTATTGAAGATATTCTTCACTTGGGCATCCCCAATTGGGTGTTGGACCCTTTTGCAAGTAGACCCACAAACTCAGATGAAGCCATACTAATACAGGAGGAACTTATTGAATTATCCACAAATGAGGAGCTGAAACCAATGTTTGAACAAGGATACCACAAATTCTGGTTACAAAAACAGATACCAATTTTATATCCTGCATTATGGGCCACTGTACAGAAGCTGTTGATTGCTTTCCTGTCTTCCTATTAAGTAGAACATGGATTTAGTGCAGTTATGAACCTCATCACGAAAAAAAGAAATTGACTGCAAATTAGTACTCATGGAGACTTAAGAATGTTAACATCGAGCCGACCATAAATACAGTAATCTCACATCATCCCATCAGATTCACTCATCTCATTAAAAAATAATGTGCTTTAGTATTTTAAAACAAAATTTATAATTTGAATAAATACTACTTTAAATGTAAAAATGTTTTACTTATATTTTATTTTTGTGATCAATATGATGATTTTCACGCCAAATATTATATAATAAATGGAGAAGACACTGAGGTTGGCGTTACATGTAACACCGACCTCAATGTCTTCTCCATTTAGTATATTTTATTTTTACATTACCATTCACCATCCAAGACAACAAAGTTAAATTTGAAATTTTGCTATAATGCAGTTGTTATTTCACTTGGGGTTCATGGTCAGGTTTTTGTTATGAGAAGGGGTCTGTGGGCATAATAAGTTTGGGAACCACTGATCTAAATGAATACATTAAAATATGTGACAGTGTTGTCAGAATTTTCACTTTGAATTACAAATTAGCCCTATTTCAAACTAGCTGAATTCCTTAACATGTAAATTTCTATATCCCTAGCCAGGACAAAAGTACAGTTATGAACTACCATCATTTGGAACTATCCGAGTTTCAATTAACAAGGATTTCCTGTATTATTATTTTTATGTATAACAATATATAAAAGTAAATGATGATAAAAATATATAAAATAATAATAATTTTGTAAAATTTACTTACTTGAATTTAAACAAGAACGATACAAATTAACTGAAGATTTAATAAATTGAGGAGCATCTTTTACCTCAGAATTGTCTAATATATCTAAAGTAAATTATGAAAAAGAATCAGTATGTATTTATTATTCATAAAAAAATTTATTCTGAAATCATTTATTTATTAATTTGTTAATTAATTAAATTCTGCTATATATATATATACACACACACACAGTCGACGCTATATAACATGAGTTCCTATAGTTCGGATTCCTATATCATGGCGAAAAAATTGAGACAATATTCATACAAACATGCTAAAAAAAACTATAATTAGGTAAAATGTCATCGCCGACTCATGTCGCGACAGGATTGCACAAACCGTTGAGTCTAAACGAGCAGTGGACCTACCAAAAACCATTTACTATTTAACGTCCATAAAAATTATATTTATATTAATGATGTCTCTAAAGTTCAGCGAATTTTTCGCAAAAAAATAATTTATCAGGAAGCACGTGAGCGCCATTCGATGACAATCTCCACGATGAAAACAAGCTTAAGCAATAGCATAGTTGAACGGTGCATGCTCGGTAAGTAATCCTACAATTTTTTTGTTTATAGCATAGTTTATATGGATTATTCCCAAAAAATTATACGTATTTTGGAAATGTTGAGTCGAATTAGTCTAGAATCGATTAATTTTATGGAAGAAACCTTTCAAACAGCCGAAGTTCGTAAACTTCATATGTGCCGGGCTGTGATTGGCTGGACTTCTAGAAGCTGGATTCATAAAAACAGGAATGTATCTACCGTGTTATAGGGGGGTAGACTGTATAGCAGAATTTCAAATTTCCAAATTTTGGAAATATATATAATTTCCAATATAAATTTGGAAATATATATATAATTTCCAATATAAATTTGGAAATATATAAAGCCAGCTGCACCGGCAAATGTATTAATTTTAAACACTGCAATACAATAGAGCAGGGGTGTCCAACCTTTTTGTTTCTCTGGGCCACATTGGAAGAAGTCATGGAGTTTTGGGCCACAAGTATATTTTGACCCAATCCTTAAATATAGAAATATATTTAAGTATTAACATGTCTAGATTATAGTAATAAGTATTAAAAGTTTACCACAAAAAAGAATATTTTTAAAAATTGCTTTTACAGACACTTTCAATTTTTACTTAGAAATAGATAAATTCATTTATTATAAAGGAGACAAACAAAAATTTATTTGAAAAACACAAATATTTGTTTTATTTGGGTCTCTAA